CTAATGTGTTTTTATGTGTCCAGAGACATCGTAACAATTTAATAGACTTGGAAACGCCGCCTGTGTCGCCAAGAGAACTACCGAATACGACAACACATGGTGGATCCAAGCAGAGAAACCCGTTAGTCTACTCAAGTAACAGTACCTTAGTTAACGTCGAAACCGACCATTATGAAGTGGATTTCAGCCAGTTGGAATTGGCTGAGGTTATTGGTCAGGGGGCATTCGGAAAGGTCATGAAAGCGGAGTTAAAAAATCAAGCTTCACGGAGCTTCACAGTTGCAGTGAAAATGTTGAGAGGTATTTTCCTAACATTAGTACGGACATTTTAAATACATATACATTAACGTTTATGCATTTATTTACAAGTTGTTTATCTTTAATTCGCTCAGGTGTATATTCAGTTATCTAATCATAAATTACGTAGCTATTACACAATTTCTTCAAGACTTTTATAAACATGTATAAATAATACTGATACTTGATAATACATTTCCATTTTATATTATATTTATAATGATTAAACTGCGTGCAATACAATTGAACTTTTCTATAATCTTTCCCCCAAATAACTCATATTCATAGTATATATATATATATGTCTCTTAAATATAATGCAAACAACAGTCAGTTTAAAGGTTTATTTTATAAACAACATATGCTTAAATGCATAAACGATGACCCATACATACATTTCAATCAAATTACGGCATATTTCTATTAGGTACAACATATGTTACCATAGCAATACTTTACATCTAATGTAAGCACGAATTGGACAGATTTAAACTGACAGAGCATACTGCAAGATGATTAATAACAATGACGGATGCGCCGTGTTGCTAAACGACGCTTATTGTTTTGTGTGTTTTCCCCATAGCAACCGCCTCCAGCGGTGACCGCCAAAACTTGCTCTCTGAGATCAGTGTGATGAAGCAAGTTGGACAACATCCAAACGTCATCAATGTGATTGGTTGCTGCACAAAAGTCATGCCCATCTGTTTAATAGTTGAATACTGTGCCTATGGCGATCTCAGAAACTACCTCAGGAATATACGAGAGCTGGTCAGTATTCAAGTCGAATTTATCACCATATAGACACATAAATAATTACAATGTAATGCACTTCATACTGTCTTTACAAAAAATGCTAATTTTTGACTGGTAATATCCCTCTGCGGTGCTCCAATTAAAGGGTTATTGACTAAGTCACATCAAGAAAGGTAGAAGGACGTCAGATCATATGGATTCACTATTAATTTTATCTTTTATAAAGGCACATGTAACGAATAATTCAAACGTTACTATGGCGCATATTTATAACGTATTTATGCTTTCAGGAGTCCAAGTTTCCGTTAACATTAAACCAGACAAATTGTGAATATGAACTCTGTGCTACAGCGGCATTCAACCAGATTTAATACAGAAATAATTGAAATCCATTTTAACAAATTTTAGTAAGTCATTATATTTTACCGCACCATCGGCTTATAAGTGCATAATTTCGGCATATGTTAACAATCGGCTGATATAACAACAGAAACATGAGCAACAGAAAGATGAATGTATCATTTGCCCCATCAATTCCAGAATATAAATGTCTAGATAATTGTCGTAGTTAAATTACAACAAAAATACAATACGTGCATTTGTTTCAGAAATATGTGTCAAGTAACTAACATGTGGTAATTGTACTTCGCAATTGTAGTAGAAATGAACTGAAGAATACACAATTGTTTTGTTAGAAGTATAACACAATTGGCCGTGTCTCAACATTTGTTTCCTATATATTTTCCGATGAAACATATGACCTCTTGGCATATAAAATGCATTGATCATCATGTGTATGTGCACAGCCGTAAATACAATCCAACGTCTGTAATTTCCTGTGCTAATCGAAAGTGATGTAAAGAGTTTCGAGAAAAAGAAAATAACCAAATCCTGTTCCATATCTGGCATCCACACTGTATATAATTCGTGGGAGTAGATGTAATTTGCTATATATGATGTGGCTAGAACGTCACAAGAACTCACATCGCATCAGTGTTTATGGCAAATTACAATATTGCAATTTAAAAGCGGTACTGTTTTCATCACGACTCAACAATAAACGTCAATGCACACACACATTTGATTTTATGGTAGTATGACCTTTGATAAAAGTTAATAATGCATATTATAGAATTTGAAAAAGTCATGATAATAAAATCAATTCCTGAAATGTATGTACATTTTTGTGAGCTGCAATTCAGAATAGGCGTTCGGTGTATGATGGTAATTTACAATCGTGTTTTTTTCCTTGTTCGCGCAGAAGTACTAACACCAGTAACATCGTCAAGTACATTATCTAAGAGCCGAAGGTGCGGGGGGCACTGCATATGACGTGTCGCCGTGGGAAAAGATGTACACTTGTTATAAGTAGCACGATCCCCACGTGCGCGCAGGACACAGCTGCTCACGCGATACTTAAGCGTTGCAATTAGGCCAGGGTAATGCGATTCTCTGTTTTGCGTCTTTTTGCGCGTACTGTTTTTTTTAAGATATCCGTGACGGGCGGAGCCAATACTATACACAAAACACAAGGTTGAGCATATCGGATATGGTGATCGCTATAAAATGAATGAATCTTACTAAACACGAAATGCGAATTAACGCCCACCTGTGACAGCCACTAGTTCCTGTCATCTAAACTCCTGTTAAATGGCTGCACCAGGACACATTGTAGTACGAATGGAAATAAACATGTTACTCAAAGAAACTGACAAATTTGAAGTTGATCTCGTTTCTCCGCTTATTATGAAAACTATTGTACATTGCTTCTGATGAACAGCCATTGCCTTCTGAGTATTTGACAGATTACAATGGCCTCCAATTACCAACTACTCTTTCAGTATAGTATGTGAGTTGACGTAATACAGTTAATATCTTTGATTTGGCCTTACGCGAACGCCCAGATCAAAGCCGCGGTCTCTGGGGAGGAAATTCGACGGTGACAAATATTTTATAAGTGCTTAACGTGATTCAAAATCTCGTCTGCCTGGATTTAAAAGCTGATTATGACGTCACACCCTATTGATGAAGATAGAGTGGGTTATTAGAATTCAAAAGTAGATTATTACTCGACATAAGTGTCATTGACCCCGATCCTATTCTCACGACAAGACTGTTAATGTGTTACTACTCTAGCATATTGTCAAAATATTCCAAAGATCATTTATATTCACTGAATCGGTTTTATTATGACATTAGTTCAATGTAAGTGTTTCAAAGTCTTTGTTAGACGTACATTAAATTTAAAGCCATTTTATTAAATACATTTGTGGAATGAAAACACTATTTTTATTGGTTAAGTTTAAGATATACGTGTTTTGGTTTCACTTTAGGATGAAATAAAAGATACCTACATCCTATTTCAACTGAATTTAAATTTAATTAAATAGTTGTTAATTTTAATTCATATATGAGACTACAATTTAATTACATTGAATTTAATTGTGTAACGTAATTAAATTGAACTGAAGTTAGTTTCCCCGCTTTCTATGACATACCTGTGTAAAACAAATAATTATTTCAACAAACACTGGTGATATTATAACTGTGTTCATTTATTGGAAATATCTTTAGTCTACACTAGTGTGTGTGTGATACATTTGGTCGGGGGTAACTCAGAATCATGTTTAGTTTATTTTAGTTTACACACGATTGTTTTTTTATTTTGCCCTTTATAGAATTTAGCATACGTTACATCATAGGGGATGTATACAGTTATTTCAACAAATAATATAAAAATATTTGTCGAGAGAATCTTTCCTAAATTACAATTTAAAATAAATTCCATGATTTAGTATTACCTAGAATGCAACTACATATGACTTCCCAATTGTATTTACTGATCGGCAATACAATTGTCATGTATGATTATTGTCAAAAAAGTACATTGTATGGCTTCTTATTTCCCATGTAATATTGCCTATTATACCGATATATATAAATGATTAGCGTTTGTGAAGTCGCCGTTATGTCTACATCCTAATGTAAGAATGTAAATGTTGTTTGCTACACGTGCTACACAATTAGGGCAGTGTACTGTTTTCGGTAAAGTGGTTTCAAGACGGTCTTCACGTGATTTTTCAATCGCAAATTGATTGTTTTGCCCTCCTCCTCAATTGTTTGGAACAGCGTATATTTCGTTCAGCCACGTTAGGTCAACTATTCCGCTTCGTTACTGTAAAGGGGTTAATTAGTCACTGGGTTTTAATTTGGCTTATTTCGCTGACTGGAAAATGCGCTAAATTAAAACCCAGTGAATATGTAAAATTTACCATAGAACACATTATCTAAATGACAAAACCGTGAACTTAAAACCCACTGAATATACCTGAAATGGTAAATCAGTGAAATTTAAACCCAGTGAAAATTAGTCATTTTACAGTATGTGAATTGAAATGCACTTCTTTACTCAAGACATCGCACTTTATATAACAAATAATGTATGCATTATGGTAACAGTAAATACAATTTTGCTTGTATGTTGAGACAATTTTTGCTAATATTTTGGGACATTTTCTTTGCGATTAATTAATGACAGATTTTATTATTTTAAATCACCGATTCCGACAAGTTACATAACAGATACTGTTAAAGCTGCGCTTGCGCAAACATTCTAGAATGGCTTTATATTGTATTGTGTACAGATACTCTGGGTAAGAGTAAATCTCTTTGCAGTTAAAATAAGGTATAAATGGAAAATTCGTGTCGTTTATTCCGTTTCATTAATTGTATAGCTACACGTACCTAAATCTTTCATGACGTTCGGAAAACTATCGTATCGGTGAAATAAATATTAAGCTGTCATTTCCTGTCATTGCTAATTAATCGGGATGGGTTAATACACGCATACAGTAAGTATTCTGAAATTATCGTTTGTGTTTGCGTTGCTATGAATTTCAATGAATGTCATAATGATGATTTTTTTTCCTTCTGTTTCATTTATGGCGAAGATGATCGAAAGAGACGTTGAAGAGAAAGATGAAGAGAAAGCGCTCCCTCGTGAGATACTAAGAAAGAAAAACTCGTATGTAATTGAACAGAACAATATGTCTATTGCGCCACCTACGTCTCTGGTGGGTATTACTTGAATGTATTTAGCATATCATTATTCATATATAGCGATGAAAGTTTGTTCATTATGGCAAATTTATTAGTGAATTTGTCAACCAATCATATCATTCTCTTTCTTTCTTTCTTTCTTTCTTCACGAATTATGTGTAAATTTGAAAACAGCAAACAAAACATCTGGATCTGAGTAATAATGTAATAAACATGCAACGTAAAAATGTGTACACCATCTTTCCATTCTTTTACAATTTACCGTGTTGGATGTTAGCTGCATCGTCAGATTACCTAATGCAACTGTTGATTGTTTTATTCAAACAACAGAAAACGGGGAATGTTGACGATACGAATAAAGTCAGTGCCGAGAAACTACCATCACCACTGGAGAAAGCTAATGAGAAAGAAGAGGCAGAAGAGAGTGATGCACTCTTAAATAAACACGAAGACAGTGTTCTTAGTAAAGGTTCGTGTACTGAGAGTTCGGGGGTACATCGTACGTGTTTCATGCCATCATATCGTTTAGCAAGTTGAGGGAAGATGTTACTTACTACAGTATTGTGATTGTTATAATTTACCATGTCGTTTCATTGTTGTTAACTCTCTGTGATCCAGGTTGCCACAACAAACAGAATCCGAAATGCAAGCTCATATCTCCTTACGCAGTCTACAAAGCAGATGGAGAATTCTTAAAAATAATCTCCACACGCCGGAAGGACAACAACGGCAACACAGATGAGGGTAAGCTACTATCGGTGGTATATCTGGTACTTACAATACCCTATGCACTCTATTATTATCAAGTAATTTTCCTATACATACTTTTTAATTAGGTGGTGAATATGCTAACAGACCTACAGAAATTCCAACACAGGACTCAGCAGAGAGGGAAGGGGAAGAGTGCAGCCAGGGTAAAGACAATAACAAATTATTCCGTTTTGCTCGTTTTATGTGTGAGATGTGATTGGAATACACGTAACAATGAATACAATAATGGGACTTGGGTAGTTACAAAACTTATAATTAATGATATGAATAGCAATTGATCAATGCCATTATATCGTGTGTTTTTTAAGCCACGCTGACATAAAATACGGTAATGGGGTCTTCCTAGAAATATAATAAGTATTCAATATTACTACTGCTATGTATATATGTAAAATGTGAAAGTTGATAATTTTTTGCAAGGGATTGTGTGCAACTTGCTCAATTAGAATTGGGTTGCGCATTGTGATAAGATCAATTCGAGATATAGGGCATTTTATCTGAGCTATTTCTGTAACTGTTCATAGCTGTTAACAAGATAACAATCCCATAGGCTGATTGGCGATCCGCTCCGCTAAAAAAACATTTGTTCGTGTGTTGCCATGATGGAACATGAACGTGAAGAAAACGTAGGTTTAGAATTTCAATCGGAGCCTCGTACATAGTTCTCAAAGAGCATCCAGTTTTCAGAAGTCACTTCACTTCTTTGCTAGTGCGTATTTTGCTATTATTTATTATATTTACGCAGGTTGACTCTTTCATCTAGATTTAGATAAGGTGACAAACATTTTATTTCCCTAATATCCCGCTTGCATTGTGAAATATGAAACTATTTTTTTTTTACCTTGGCACTGTTACTTAATTTTAGCTACCTTGCCGTCCATTCCCGGATGTTAGAATGATATATGTCCGAGATATGTTAGTTTTGTCTGGTTTATATCTTCGATTTTATTTACAGCTTGAAGTTTCATTGCAGTTGTCGTGACTATTTATATATTGGTCAACGATATTGTCAGAATATCTCAGATACATCACGAACTCAAATAGAATTCTAGAAATTATCCCGCAACATGATTATAATATAATCTGAATATAATATCAAACAACCGAGATAGAAAGAGAATTTGTGAGATACATTGCAAGTCAGAATTGACAAAAAATAGTCGATCATTTAGAAGCATGGTTTTAGACAAAGGTCGACACCATGAAACATACTAAATAAGTTTATTCTACGCAACGTGTTACACGTTTGTAAATATATTTATTGACCATTGCAATCTATTCCCTACTTCAATTTGGATTCCCGGCCTTTGACTGTATTTAATTTTTAATTGCCACATAAAATCTGGTTTGCACATAGGTAATGAATAGAATAGCATGCGTAAGCCGATTTTTGCGTATGCATAAGTGGCATATAGATGAAAATACACCTCATCTTTACCACACGCTAATACTCTGTAGAGGCACCTTAAATACTGGCGGCAACTCAAAAACAAAATACAATGTAGTAACTTTAGGCACACATTCAAGCAAAAATAGAATGAGATATGTCCGAGATTCTGACTCAGATATTTGTACGAAAATACGAGCAAAATCAAGTTTGTGGCTGTTGTCAGGAGTGCAGGCGTAACCTGCCTGTCTAGTTTGACCAATATTGGTATAAATCCCCGAAAAGAAAATTCACAGAAAAATATAAATGCCGTTCCTGACAAAGTATTCCCCCAAATTCGGGGCAATTGAAAACGATATAAAAAAACAAATTCGGGTCCACACTCAAGCTGTGTACAGCGAGATATGTTCAAGGTTTGTAATCTAGGATTTGTAGGAAGAGATACATTTGGCGCAATGATGTTCAACCACCTAAGAAGCGTGAAGATGTGACCAGCATGCCTGCCAAGTTTGAACAAAATCAACCAAGGCAAAAAATCACAGAAGAGTTGATACGTGAAGAATGATGGCACAAACAGAGAATCATACACAGACAAGTGATTTCAAGGGCAATCCTAATGAAGCGGATCGCCAACAAGATAACAAGATATAAACTAAAACTAACGATCGATAAATACATTTAAGGCATATCGCATTTATTAAACCGTGATTTTCTTGCAGCAACTAAAACGGAAATGCACTCAGTCGCAATGATAGAGATACATGTTTAGTGATTTATAAGAGAAAGCCTCAATTTCCCACTAACCATTTACATATTTCTTTGCCGTTACATTTAATTAAGCGTTTCTATTGGATTTCCATCCACAGAATCAGTTAACCAGCTGACCACGGCCGATCTACTTTCATATGCAAGGCAGGTTGCAATGGGGATGGTAAGTGCACAGATTATTAGGCCCTGACTCTATGCTCTAGGTTAGTCAGTTCATGCAATTGTGGCTCGGCTTATGCACTTAATGATTCCGCTATTGGTGGGATCGTAAATAATTGAGATTGCGTATTAGTTTATTACATATACTAGTAATCTCCTGATCGAATTAAACTCTAATTCAAGTCAGGTGATAGAATTCGTTCCTGTAATTGCTTTGGTTGAAATCCCTGGTAAGCGTTGTTATGGTTTCTCTCGAAATGAAAGTGTGTCTCTTTCACGATTGTATGTTAATTATACATCTCCATATATGGTATATAGGAGTATCTGGCTAATAAACAGTTTGTTCACCGAGATCTCGCGGCCAGGAACATCTTAGTGTGCGAGAACAAACTGGTGAAAATATCTGACTTCGGCATGGCAAGGGACGTTTACGAAGACAGCCATTACCACAAAACTACTGGAGGTAAACTGCCTTTGAAATGGATGTCAATTGAAGCCATTTTTGACCAGATTTACACTACACAAAGTGATGTGTAAGTTCAAGTTTAAGTTATAGAATATCGTGGATGAAGCTCAAGAATATGTTGTATTTATATATGTTTGTCCAGACATGTTTTAGATTGCTAAAAATGAATTAAAATTTTCAGTATCTCGAGCAAAGCGAGAATCACGTTACCTTCTACCGGGGTCGACACATTTCGCGTTCCACAATACGCAAAAGTCCGCAATGTGCGAAAAATCAGGACTGTTATTAATAATAGTAAAATAATACAAGCGAATTTATCTGCCATTCTGTGTGTTGTAATTTTGCCGATGAAATTACGTTCTTGTCTGTCAATGCGCCAAACATTGAGAAATCGGGCAGCTTATGCACCAGTGGTGGAATAGTATGAATTCTAGGATGACGTGCGGTACCTCAGTAAAGTTGCATTCATCCATACATCCTGAATATCACCATGAGATTAGATTGAAATAAACACTGAAGCGAGTCTCCACTTGTCATAAACATTGTAATGTCTAATCACAGTCAGCTTGCGCACACGTGATAATAAATAAATACAGTATTTACTATATGGGACCGCCGTCTTGAATGCGGCATAAAACTAAATAAGAGACAAGTTGTGAAACGCGTTTTTCAGATTCTACAAATCGGGACAAAAATGCCAATCTTTCACAGAAATACGATCCGTTGGCGGTAATATTAAGCCAACCGATAATCGTCGTTTTTGTTTGGAAAAATCCCTTAAATACGAACATTAATTACACGAAGAACATAGAACACTTTCCCGGGGTATTTTTTGCATGCGTGCATTTTAATGTTTTGGTGACTTACTTCTAAATTCGATTTCTAAACCCGGAAGCTATTATAATAGACCATTTTCCGTTCACTGCGAGAATAACGCGTTATGCGTGAAATCGAACGTAAAAACAGGACAAACAAAGGTCATAGCGTCGTAGTGGCGTCAAACATCGCGTGGGATTCGACAAACGCGAAAGTATTTTGGGGATATTTCCATGCTTAATAATGTGCTGTACACTTTTGATGATGGACAATTTCGATTAAGTGAGGGTATTCGAAAGCAATATTCCTCTGTCGAAGATCGGCCGGTCGGTATGAGTTACGAAATAAAGAAATTCGAGTACAAAATCAAATCGTTCGACTTTTGCGGCAGACGTTCGACGCGCGTCTTTCATGCATCTCACGAGATCTCGCAATTGTACGGAAAATCACCTATTGCTTACAGGGACCAGTGAGAGGTTTTATGCAAATCATCCGAAGTAGTAATACATCTAGATCTTTAAGCACAGACATTCTTCATCATTATATAACCGCATCATGTAAACATTAATTAAGATTTGAAAAAGGGGCCATGTGATTGTACATCAAACTTTGGTGTTGAAAGGTAATATGTAAATCAGTGTATATTAATAAATAGAGGACATAGTGCTGAGGAGTGTGCTACATGTGCCAAAGGGAATTGGGAAATGATGCATTAATATAAAGTAAACGCTTTTGTAAATGCTTGAAAGATTATCCGCTCCTTCCGATTAAGTAAAAAGATGGGAAACATGTCCTTGCAGGAAAAGTAGTCTATAATCCGTTAAACTAATCCGGATCAGTGCTTTTTTTTCAGATGATCGTGAAAAAACCAGTTGACTAATATCATGTTTTATTAAAACTCTTATTCAAATCAATAAAAAAATGATGATGAGCAAATACCTTGTATTTTTGGGGAGAGCTTCGTATGAATTGTAACTCTTAAAGCCACCTAATCGTAGTTTAGTTTCATAGACTGACATACTCGTGATATGCTATGCAATACGAGGGTTGACTTTTATTTGTATTTTTTGAGAAATAAAATTAGAACACTTTTACTCTTGAAAAATTCATTCTTATAAAAGGCTCATATAGGAAATAAAGTCTGGGGTTCATTGTTTTTTTTTTCAAAATCATGAGGTAATATTGTATTGTTCCAACCACTGTGGCATAACTGCACATAGAGATTCCAAATTAATTCAATTAAAAATATAATGATTAAACCTAACTTATATGACAATATTTTAATTCCTTTTCCATCTCCGTTTCCTATCACTCGGTCTATTGCAGCGTAAAACTTATAGAGAGTGCTAGGAATATATATATATATATATTTCTAAAGAGTTAAGTTGTGTTTGTCTTGTTTTACGTTAAACTATAACATTATTATATAAATGTCGTGAATATACAGGTGGTCATTCGGCGTTGTGTTGTGGGAGATTATTACACTGGGAGCCTCACCGTACCCAGGCATATCTGGAAAAAGACTGCTTAAAATGCTGAAGACTGGCCACAGAATGGAACAACCTGACAATTGTCCACAGGAAATGTGAGCGAATATTTTTTTGTAATTTATTTTTCGATGTTGCTAGTGTCGAATTTCAATTTGCCATCATACAGGGGTACACCCACATGGCTTGTACATAGGGCATGTTTGGGTCATGAAATGACACAGAGATACACTAAACTTTCACCTGGTCGTATGTTGATATACACAACGTTAGCAACTGACGCTAAAGATCTGGTGTTTTTTTTTTCGCCGATTTATCATGGGGTGGGGCTAAGCCGGCTAACCAATAGAGCTATCATCAACTTGCAGATACTGTAGCGATGATTGTGCGCTGAATTGATTACTGGTGATACGACTCAGTTCAATTTAATTCAATTTTACCATTAATTTAAACATGAAACATTCGTGGTCCATTAAATCGCTTTCCCTATTTTCTTGGGAGACCCTTGAAACTGCTAAGCAACGTATTAGCAATATTGCGTTTTCATCAGCGGTGTGAATTATTTTCGAGTTAGCCATGTTAAAAGGTAATCACTTGTAAGGCGACGGTTCGCCTGTGTAAAGGTTGGCGTATCGCAATTCAATAGTTCACCGCAATCAAATGCACATCTCAACGCAATTTATAATCCGTGGTTGGCTAACAACAACTCCCTACTTATATTTGGCCAATCAACATGTCAGTTATAAGAAAATAATGTTGGTATAATGGTGACGAGTCTTTCTTTGAAAGCCAAGCGGGTGACACTTGGGTGTGGTTGATCATACATAGAATTATTGTAGCAACCCCAAATCTTCAAGCACCAATTGTGTCAAATATTTGTTTTTAACGGGGAAATACAATAGTTGAAGCGGGAGTGTCGACACCTGCGCACGCGCGGGAATTGAGTCCCAAGCGGCGATAAAAACACACGCTGAAAACGCAAAGGCTCATGGGTAGACGCTTGCTTGTAAACAATGACACGCTATGGCCATCTGACGCATGCGCAGGTGACGACTCCCCCGCTTTAAGCTAAGAGGCGAATGAAATCTGAAATTCATGTCACAACATTTGAAATTTCTTTCCAGCTACCATATCATGCGCTCCTGTTGGCAGGCCGCTGCAAATGACCGGCCATCGTTCACCCAGCTACGTGAGCAATTGGAGAGAATATTGGAAGACAGTCAGCAATACATAGATCTCTCCTTGGATTATTACTACAGGGTACCTGATGCAGAGAGTAGGTGAGAAGTATTACCCAGCTTTCATTGCTCTCAGCAAACCTCAGAAGTATTGTATTTAAAACAATGAATCCAAGTTGAATTATTCAAATAATAATCTGCATATTGTAAAATACGCAAAATGATGTAATCCACGTGTTATATTTAGAAATATCGCACACTTTTCTATTTTACTTTTCTCTAATGAAAAGTACGGGAATAGAGATCACATTCTTTGTTCATCCAATGATTGGTCACGGTGGTGGCGCCATTCACTGAAGATCGCAAACTGTCAAACGTTCTACAGAAATATTGTCCACCATCCTAAAATGCCGGTGGTATTATGCAGAATACTGATGACGCATAATTTGGCAGTTACATTGATCATTATAGTAGTTGAACATAGGTCTTGGAGCCCCAGATATTTGTGTATACTGTGGCATAATGGGACGCCAGACAAATGACGTAGGGTGATTAGCACACACCAATGGTTTCTTACCATATTGTTTCGATTGTTTTGTTTTTTACAGTGGAAAAAGTAATGACGAAGAAACTAGCGGGAACAGCACCATCAGTGGCGGCGATGGTGCGTCAGCTCAGTCTACCGGAGGTCACAGCCCAGATATTAGTGATTTCAATTCCACCACGACGATGGGAGATTCTCATTCGTTAATTCATCCTGCCAGCCCTTGTGACGCCACCGTGTCATCCTCACCGAGTGTCTGCAGCTTGCCGTGTATGAAGGAGGATTACAATGTAGGCTGTACGAGCGGTATTGAGATGTCGCCGCCGTCCGATGTAGGCGCGGGTGAAACTGCTCAATGTGTTGCCCGGATAGCTGAAGATAACCAGGTCGAATCCAAAGTCACAAATTTGGCCCCTCAAGCAGCTTTCATGGATAATCTATCATATGAACAATTTGAAGAGGTTGTGCCAGGTCCTAAACTGAACAGAAACATTGTTATACAGCGAACACCAAACAGATATCTTAACTCTGATAAAAATCTCTTTCATATAAGCAATAACTGTTTGGGCGATGATGGCAACACGCATAAAACAGTTAATGTACCAGGAACGATAGCTGTAGGAACCAATCTGGGAGTTCTTACAGAAACCATCGACAAAAAAGACCAGTTACGTCTCCAGAGTAAGAATAACCAGATAGAACATGGTGGCGGATTGCGGCCACATTCTTTGGACATATCCCAAACGGTTAAAGCCCCGATGCACAAAACGCCAAAGATCAAAGTCGTTTCAGCAGACGAGTCGGAGCGGAGCGCACTCACACAAACACAGGGACTACCTTCTGCTCGTCCTTTGGCAAAACTGAAAATCTGCAATGGAAATGGATTAGTTCCTCAAAATGGTCCATTTAGTAAATCGCAAGCTCCTAATTCAGTGCCGAATGTGCAGTATGAGAATGTAAAAGTTGTACAAAATACTCGAGTGTAAGAGAGAGTTTGATAAAAATAAATAATAACATAGATTACAGTAATGTATGGACAGATAATTCGTCATGATTTGAATCATGTATAAGATACTGTCATATGAAACATGGGGCCAGCTGTCCTATGATCCTAAAAGAGTGTCGTGCAAAGTATGACCACGTATTCTAACGGAATTGAAAACTGGACAGCTGTGTTGACATATGAATAACATTACGAATTCTCGAATACCAAAACATCGCGATGCATTCGTAATCTCAATACGCAAATAGTTGTTTTAGCCAGTATATTGATAGTACAGATAATAAACACTGTTCGTTATTTGTGTTTTTTGAAACAGGGACATGTAATGGCAATGAACATAATTTAGGTTGAACCTTGAACGCAAGACTACCTGTAAAATAACTTCAACTATTTGGTGACGTCAAAATATGATATGAGGCACTTCCGTCCATTTCCCATTGCAGTCATGCGTTCCATTTACTCATAATTGACCATTCTTTATAGAAAAAAAATCGACATAACATAAACATCATGTTACGTAACCGAAATTTATAAACTGGCAAAATTGCAAATTGAACAGGTAATGGAAAAAAATCAGATTAGCTTAATCAGTATTTCCATCCACATACCGTGAGACACGCTGAAATATCCACCTCTGTGATACTCGAATAATCAACCTAATTCATTTGAATTTCTTTTTCATTGAAAATGAGTAGTATTGTATAATCGTATATATAATGGGTTTCCAAGACAACCCTTATTTGAGAGTCTGCTTAAAATTGATAGAGTCAACTCCCCAAGTGCGTCTTGTCGTAATGTACAAGAGGTGTTTTAGCGCCACGCACGTGCGAGGAATACAAAGTGCTACAGTCATGAGATTATTCGAAACTGAAAACTAATATAATTCTATGGTATTTATTTTCAGACTGTAAATATTACATAAAGATCTGATTATGACCCATATGCAGCTGGTCTGCTGAGGTCTGGCGTATTCCATGTCGATACTATGTATACATACCGTACCATATACAACCCTTCCACTTTTGTCTGGTTACTTTTCGAAGAAAATATTCTACGCACAAATTTTGATGATGTTAAAAATATCCATCCTATATTTCATGAAATACCGTAGACTATTTTTCTGCTTTGATTTGGTCTAACCCAATTGTAGAATTAGGCGCTAGACATTGCAGGTGTATTGCAAGGTATTTGAAGTTTTTTGGTGTTGTAATTAAGGACGGCGTTTTAAAATGTTGATAAATGATTAGTTTACGCCCACTGTTTTTAGAGTTTCATAAATGCTGTAGACTAGATGCCGCCTAAAATGTACGAATAACAGACTAGTGAATGGCTCTGGACGCGGGCCTCACGTACGGGTCAGTCTGCGCATGCGCGTTATCGTGGTAATGTGCTGAAGTTATGGAGACAGCCAATCAGTGATGGCACAGAATTCCGTGTCGACTACGTAGTTGCATGGCGATTCACCATATCATTTTCAAATACTGTCAAATGTTGGTTAATTATTATAATTGTTTCACAAGCAAATATGTGAATATTTGCCAAAGTCGTCATTCAATAAGACTGAATTCCTGTGAAAGTATGTTCTGAAGTACGTGTTAACGACTCAAAACACTGACACTTGTTTAGTTTTTTAAATGGCCATTAAAACTACCCCACAGCTGCACAATATTGATCAGTATATGAATTATACAATTTACATAAATATTCTGTATATAATATTGTTTTGTATATTTTAAAGTATTATTATAACACTATGTGCCTGACAAATATACATATTACAAGTATTCATATGTGATGTACATATTCCTGAGAATGTATTTACAATTGATCGGCCAAGTTTACAGTGGTTATCATAAATGATTGTACGTCTGATCTTATTGTTTCCCATCGCTGCCACGATTGTGATGGACAAAGGTATATATGGCGAGACGGTTACACGCAATCTTATTCAGTAGAAGAGATAGTCAGAATGAGATTGTCATCGACTCCAGACAGCAGAATGAATAAGAGTTCGTAATTATGATATTGTGTCAGCTGTCACTGACAAACTGACAAACGAACCGTGGATGTATAACAGACATCGGTTAAGTGTTATTTTCTCCTGGTTGAAAGATTGTATCTGTTATGTGATGTTATATTACTTTGGTATTCTCCCATTGTCGACTGTTTAATAACATCTACCCACAACCAGGAACACTAGAGAAAATATGGATGTTATAATAATTTGGTAGCGTTTAAAGTCGCGTTTCCTCGAGCAATTCGAGCGAGATTTACCAAACATCCGTAGCTGCACGATACTGGGACCGTCCAGAATTGAATTTGCCGTATAAGCCGCATGTAATGCTCCACAGAGACACTCTTCAACGAACTAATACATAGTAGAATACACAGTTCAACTTTCCCTGCTATTTCATGTTACTGTTTCACTAGTGTATTCTCAATTGAACTATTATGTAATGTAAATTTACTATTTCACTACCTCTGTACACTGTTTATGCTCTTAAAATATATATGAAATGTAATTTTATTGAGTTATACATTTACAAAAGATGTACAAATTGTTTGGAGTAATTAGACCATAAAGGAAATATTGTTACACATGGGAGTATTTTTTTCTACAGCGCCAACAATTTGTGACCAAACACCGATCCAATCATCAGTTTGAATTCTGTAGAACAAAAATATTTGGGATGAGGGTAGTTGACTCCGCACGTAGCTTTGACAGGCGATATTTATCATTAAATTGCAGTCAGATATACATAACCCATCCAAATATTGCTTTCATTTACACTTATTACAAAACAATTTCACGAATTCTTGAATGCGACAATAGAAGGATTCATTCGTAATCTGACTACTGAATGAGTTGCAAATTGACAGAATGAAGGCTAAGCATTATTCGTGGTTTAAACGAGAAAATTAAATGTCTATCATTTGAGATTTGAAGATAACCACATACCACTTTTTTTTTGGTAGCTCCACTTCCAGATTTGTCGAGCGGGCCTAGTCATACTACTGATTGACATTCTTCGTCGTTGACGTTCGCGTCATATTTTTTTTTCATTTACGACTTCTTTCTTAAGTCTGATTCGTTTGAAACTCGGTACCTTGGTTGAACCTCTCTCAGATTTGGTCATTTCGTGCAGATAACTTCAATTAAATGTTGATGTTTTTTTTTTTTCATTTTTGGTAGAGAGTGATATTTTCAATTTCTCTTTGAAAACAGCAATTCCTATTGCTTAAATATTGATATGCAGGTACCTCAGGTGTACTGCTCAGTTTTGTCCATTTCCTGATAATATCTGTCATGCTCTAATTTTGATGAATAATTTTGTCATTTTGTTATAAAAAGTGATATTTCCGACTTCTTTTGAAAACTGCAAATCAAATTGCTTCTATATTGGACCTCTCATTATTTCAGTTCATGAAAAATCTCTAATTTTGATGAATATTTTCGTCTTTTCTCGTAAAAATGGACACTTCTTCTTTAAAATGGCTTCCAATTGCTTTGATATTTTATATGTAGCGACTTTGGGTGGATCTCAGTCTGATTTGATCATTTTATGACAATGAATACGTTTGTTTATTTCTGGTAAAACGTTATATATCGACTTGTTCTTAAAAATGACTATCCCAATGCTTTAATATTTTATATCTTGACACTTTAGGTGGAATCAATTAGACCGATACCCTCTATCCTCCGTAATCAAAATTTCTGCCAATTTTGGTAAAATATGCTATTTTTGACTTTTTTATTAAAAACGGCTTGCCTGATTGCCTTGATATTTTATATATAGGTGCTTTGGGTTGAAATGTCAGTTTTGGTGCTTCTCGTGATGTTAATTTTAATAAATATTTTGTTCTCATTTTTGGTATTTTCTGACAACTTTTCGAAAACCATAGACCCAATTGTTCTGATATTTTATTTGTATGATCAATAGATGAATCACTGTCAAATTGATTTTATTCCTTATTTAATCAGATTAATTTAAGACTGATTGATTTGATATTTCTATCACGTTATGCACCCGAAGCAGCGAAACTATATCAGCAGACAGTCTGCTTATAAGAAAATAGGCAAAATAACAAAAAAATTATGTCAATATACCAATTTCCTCCAATGCAAGATCTCGCGTTGTGCGCTACAAACAGGGTAAACAAAGGTCGTTGAGTCGAAGTGACGCCAAAACATCGCGTGGTATTCGACAAAAATGAAAATATTTTGGGGGAAGATGGTCAAATTTGATGGAGTACGAGTATCTCTTTGCATTCCGACATTGAGCTATACAAACGGAAATTCGAGTTCAAAATCAAATCGTTTTATTTTTGCATGTGGCAAACGTTAGATAATATAATTTCACCTGTTACATATTAAAGGGCGGCGGTTGACGTGCCACGTCCTGTCCTCATAGCTACGTATACAACGCGTACAAAATACATTGTTTATTTACATGAAATTCGAACACGCGTTGCGCGACGACCACCGCGCTTTAATATACAGTGACCAGAGGCAACGTTTCCCACAAAATACGTTTTATTGATTTTCCAGGAAGAAGAAGCAGTGCCCACACAGTATCTCGTGGTAGTATACACTGGCCAATGTGAAATAATTCAATTTATTGTATTGGAATCAGACACAGTAGTTGTATATCAGAAACTGGGACAACCGTCCCCATTCAAGTCTTTCGTTTATATGTATGCTCAAGGGCATCATATCTATTCAGCTAGTTGCCAATTACGAGGAATGTCAAACATATTGGTAAAGTTCAGACTACTAACAATCACCTATACACACAAGTGAAGTCCCAATGAGAGCATTTTTTTTCAAAACGTACGATACTGGACATAATTTGGGTCGCACCTCCTTGTATTCGGTTACTTGTCAGATACACACCAACAGACGTAATCAAAAGGCTACAGACCAAAGAGTAGATGAGAAGTGGTGTTGGCATTTGTCGGTTACAATAGTTTGTCAATTCTATGCAACACATCTACGTTCACAAGAGATCTGTTCTGTATTGTTTAGACAGGGGAGATTAACCATGATGTTCAATCTTGACCTAAAGTTCTATTGTCAATGCCAGTAATTACTCTTTATTATAATACACCTAAAGAGTGTTCATTGTAGTTCATGGTAATCAGATAGTATACAAACATTACAGTATTTCCATGGGTAACCTTTGTATGATAAATAATGTAGTGTATAATAACAGATATAATGCAGATACAACAGAATTATATAGTAACAGGTCTATTTTTAGACACAACATATACAATTTAGTGAATTATATAGTAACAGGTCTATTTTTAGACACAACATATACAATTTAGTGAATTATATAGTAACAGGTATATTTTTAGACAAAAGATACAATTAAGTGAATTATATAGTAACAGGTCTATTTTTAGACACAACATATACAATTTAGTGAATTATATAGTAACAGGTATATTTTTAGACAAAAGATACAATTAAGTGAATTATATAGTAACAGGTCTATTTTTAGACACAACATATACAATTAAGTGAATTATATAGTAACAGGTCTATTTTTAGACAACAGATACA